TTGCTGTGATGTCAGTTGTTTCCTTGCCTCTTTCATTTCTGATTTTATTTGTTTGATTCCTCTCTGTTTCTTGATGAGTCGGGTTATATCTTCATCAATATTGTTTATCTTTTCAAAGAACCAGCTCCTGGTTTCATTGACTTTTGTATTCTTTTTTAGCTTTTTTTGTCATATTCTTCTCTGATCTTTATTATTTCCTTCCTTCTACTTACTCTGCCCTTTGCTTGTTGTTCCTTCTCAAATTATTTTAGGTATAGGGTTTATTTACTTGATGTTTTTCTTGTTTCTTGTGGTAGGTCTGTAATGCTATGAACTTCCATCTCAGGACTGCCTTCACTGTGTGTCATAGATTTGGGGTTTTTGTGTATTTGGTTTCATGAATTTTTTAATTTCTTCCATGATCTCATTGGTAACCTATTTATTATTTTATAACATACTATTTAGCTTCCATGTGTTTGTATGTTTTAAAGTTTTTTTTATTGTTGTTGATTTCTAGTTTCATGCCATTGTGATCCAAGAAGATTCTTGATATAATTTCAATTCTCTTGAATTTTTAAAGACTTTTTTTGTGTAAAAATACAATTGACTTTTTAAAAATATATTTTATTAAATTTTTACAGAGAGGAAGGGAGAGGGATAGAGAGTTAGAAACATCCATGTGAGAGAAACATCGATCAGCTGCCTCCTGCATACCCCCACTGGGGATGTGCCCGCAACCAAGGTACATGCCCTTGACTGGAATCAAACCCAGGACCCTTCAGTCCGCCGGCCCATGCTCTATTCACTGAGCCCAACCAGTTAGGGTTACAATTGACTTTTTATGTTGTTCTTGTATCCTGCAACATTGCTGAACTTGTTTATTTGTTATAACAGGGTTTTTTATGTGTGGATTTCTTAATTTTATATATACTATTATGTCATATGTGAATGGCTTTAGTTTTTCTTTCTAATCTAAATGTGTTTTTCCCTCCAATATCTCTGTCCAGTACCTTTAGTACATATGTGGCATGGAGTGATGTTTGTTCATGATTATAGGATGAAAGAATTCAGTCTTTCACCATTAAGTATGCTGTTAACTATGAGTTTTTCACAAATTGCCATCATCAGTTTTCAACAGTTCTGTACTATGCCTAGTTTCTTAGGTGTTTTTTAATTGATGTTAATTATTCTTTAAATATTTGGTAGAATTCATTAGTGATGCCATCTGGTCTGATCCAGATGGGAAGTTTTTGAATAATAGTCCAATCTTTTTATCCAATTTTTGCTTTTCTTCCTCAGTCAGTTTCTGTCATTCTAGAATTTTTTTTCCATTTCATCAGGTTATCTAATTTATTAGCATATAATTGTTTATAATGTCCCCTTTAATCCCTTTTATTTCTTTCAGATTAGTAGTAGTATTTCCTCTTTTATTCTTGATTTTGATAATTTGAGAACTCTCTTTTACATTTTAACTTTTTTAAAAAGCAAATATGATCCTGTATCTACTGTGTAATTTAAAAAACAAAGGAGAAAAAAAGGAGAAATTGAAGATACATACAAAATACAAAGCCTTATCAAAATTGGGATCTGGGCATGCTGCTAGCTCTCCACCAGTTATTTCTCCTTTATCAACTTCAGTTTCTTCATCAGGAAGTTATGATATTGGTTAATAATTATTTAAGTCTTTGAAAGCATGTGGACTATATCATTTCCATGTGTGAGCATGGGATTAAAGACCATAGTTTGGAGTATTTGAGAATAGACAGTAGACCAGTTTGGAAGGAGCCCAGTATTCCTAAAAGACACAGTTGAAGGTGATAAAGGAAATGCAGATTGAAGCCGGATTATGGTAATATTTGAATTCCATGGTAAGAGATTTGGATTTGGCAATGGGCAGCTAATGAGTATATGGAGGTGTGAGAGTAGCCAATCAAAGTGATAAAGAAATTGGTGTGGGGGAAGGATTGGAGCTGGGAATCACCCACGGAAATCACTTAGGGAATGGGGGCCATGACAGTAAGAATGGAAAAGTAAGAGATGATGACCAGAGATCTTCTATGTTTTGAAAAGTACTCCCTGAAAATAAGGGAGACGGGAGTAGTTAGTTCTCTTGCTCATCCCCTTGTTTCTCATAGTTATTGGTTAAGCACAAACTAGGTCCAAAATAGGCATTTATTAAGTTGAATCGCATTGTGCTGGAGCACAATGAAGGCTGGAGGAAATAATCTTCAAGTACTCTGAGAGGGCTTCCAGGAAAGCCTTCCATCTTGCCAGGCTCTGGGCATTGTCTGTCTTCTTTCTTGTCACCGAGGAGCCCATGTGTGCCAATTGCAGTGTTCATGTATAACATTTTTTAAAAAGTACACAGGTATACATTAGCTTACATAGTGTGTTGGTGAGAGGGTTGATATTGTACCCACAGAAGATGAAGTCTTGTGCTGATCTGTGTCAATGTACTTTGACATAAGAGCAGCCAAGACCTTCATCACACAGAACGGGGAAACTCTCAACAGCAGGGAATTGAGGGTTTTCTACCAGAACGTCATTGTCTCAGGCCCAGGGGATTTTTCTGTAGGACCCTGGGCTTAGGGGCACAGTAATCAGGCCTTACATGCTACCTTTTTGCAAATTAAAATAATCTCCCCTCAAATGTCAGCTACACAGTGGGCAGAGATTTTTGTCTCTTTTGTTACTGCTTTATCTCCATTACCTGGTATATATTAAGCATTGAACATAGGTTTAATGAATGAATGAATCTACCAGTCATTCTTTTGGATTAAGATAGCATCTTTCCCGAAGTAGTGAGCTTATGGGGTTGTTTCAGTATAATAGATAAAAGTCTTGTCTTCTCAGAAGCTCCTTATGAAGAGTCCTGCCATCCATGCCTTTAGTTCTTGCCAGAAGGGGCTCCTCCACCAAATTTTGTGCAAGAAATATGCATCCACCTAGTTATAGTTGCCTTCTTGCCTTTTCATTGTTATCTGAAGTATTACTTGAACCTAAATTTGGTTCTGTCTTGACCTGACTTTCCAACCCACCTACCCCCACCAATATTCTGTGCTCCTTCCCACTAGAGTTGTTTCAAAGAGTCATCTCATTTTAGCCATCTGAAAGCCAACATTTTGTTTTGATTTGACTGTCTTACTCCTGAGAAGAATAGAAAGGTTTCTTATCTTGAAGGCCTGCCCATTGTATTCTTTTCATAGCAGGGATTAGCTTGCTTTATGAGAAGCTGGAAAAAGCTAATAGATTATTAGAAAATGACGTTTTTATTGGTAAAGATAGACAGGTTTATGATGTGTTTGCTTCAAGGCCTTAGAATCACCTTTTTTTTTTTTTTAACAGATCTGTTCCTTAATTAGTCATCCTTCATCACTGCCTATTTATTGTATCAAGGGACAGCTATTAGCACATCAAAGACACAAAGCTGACCTTTATAAGATGTAGAAAGATTTTCAATACATCATTTGCAGAGGGTGATAGGTTCTGGGTAGACGTACATTTTTGCACATTTGGCTGTGTATGGAAAATGCATTAAAATGGATTGAGCTCTTACTATATACCAACCACTGTGGCAAATAAGTAGACTATATGCTGGTGACATCTCTAGGTTCACTGGGTGGTAACCATGCTCTCCAAGCTCTGTGAGGCAAAGGGAGAGGAGAATACACAGAGGTGCGAAGGAACTACTGTCCCTCTGGCTTCATCTCAAAGCTTCTGTACCCCTAAATCCACTCACCAACATACATTTTTGTTGTCAGAAATAGAGATGCATTGAAATTGCTTTATCTTAGCTTCTTGAGGCAGGAATATAGAAAAACCAGGGGTGGGATATTGGCGGGGGGAAAGATGAATAGTTGAATAAAGTTGTAGAGATACCTGACAAGCTCTTTGGTTAATTATCCTAGCAGATCTTGCCACTCTTCTTAGGGTACCACCCTTCCTTTTTTCCATGCCCCCTAGTTTTCCTTCTTCCTAGGAGTAGGGTGAAATGAGCCATTTCCATGAGTTAATTAATCCAAGATCAAGAAATACCTTATTAAGCCTCCCCAACAGTTTTTTTTTTCTGCATTCCTTTGCTTCATGATTTGGAATGGATCGTCTGAACCTTTAACCAATTGCATCCAATTTTGATGAGTAATATTTCTAAGTTCACCTTGTCTCAATCCCGTCTCTACTCCTTTTCCAACTCTCTTAGAAATAGAGGCAAAAGGAGCTAGCACAGTAGTTTAGACCAAAAACTCTGGAGCCAAACTGCCTGGCTTCTATCCCAGATCTTCTGCTTCCTAACTTTGTGACTTGGGATGAAATCCCTAACTTTTTAAGGCTCAGTTTCCTCTTCTGTGAAATGGTGATAATAATGGTACCTGTCTAGCAGAACTGAATAATACAGTTCACTGAAAACTCTCAACACAGGGGCTGGTATATAGTAAGTGCTCAATAAACAGCTGTTGCTATTATGTGGTACAAGGACATTATGACATCTCCATTCCAACCTTGAGGAAGTACAGACATTTGTATATTCCAAGAATTTCACAGTCAAATTTTAATGATTTATATGTGCAGGCTTTGACCGAAGGCCCTGATTTGGATATGTCCACTCTAGTTTCTAACTTTGATTTCCATACTCATAAGTGTTTAACAATAATCCAGCCATGGCACCGCATATGTATAGCTTAATCCTTTTTTATTTTGATCCAACTATTCTCCCTAATATGCCCCCAATATGTCTTCTGATTGTCATTGCTCTTCTCTCCTCTGCAATCATTTTAGCTAAGAAGCCTCTGAGGATGATTTCCCCATCTTTCATTTTACAGATGATAGGTCTCCAGAGGCCAAGAGAAAATTAGTCTCATTCCTAAGGTCAACAAGTCACCCTGGAGCCAGGCCTGGCATGCAGATTACAGGGGCCTCTGAAGGTTCTCTGAATACCTGAAGAATTTAGTTTATCCTTTTTCTACTTGTTTGAAAACTTCTCAAAGAAGGAAGTTAATCCTTTCTTTCTCTGCCTTCTTCCACAGCTCTGGGTGAACCAGGAGGATGGGGTAGAGGAAGGGTCCAGTGACGTTCAGAATGGGCACCTGGACCCCAACTCAGACTGTCTCTGTCTGGGCCGGCCACTACAGAACCGAGATCAGATGCGGGCCAATGTCATCAATGAAATCATGAGCACTGAGCGTCATTATATCAAGCACCTCAAGGACATCTGTGAGGTAGGTCCAGCTATGATAGTGCTTGTGGTGGCACTTAGGGTGAAATAGGGTTCACTTCCATGAAGAAACAACAACTCCCTGGGCCCTACCTTTGACAGTTGAAGATGTTGGAAAGAGCACCTTGACTGGTTTCCTAAATTTTGTTTGTGAGAAACTGATTCTTTGGGGCTGCTCAGTTTCTCTCTCTCTCTTTCTCTCTCTGTCTCTTTTCTATTTGTTCATGGGTATTTTTTTAAATTCTTGAAAGTATAACATATGTCCCTTCCCCGCCCCATTGTCCTCTCCCAGCCTGCTCCTGCCCACCAACCCAGCCTTCACCACCCCCCTCGCCCAATTATCTGTGTCCATTGGTTATGCTTATATGCATACAAGTTCTTTTGTTGATCTCTTACCCCCACATCCATCCCCCATCCCACATTCCCCTGCCTTCCCTCTAATGTTTGACAGTCTGTTCCATGGTTCTGTGTCTCAAGATTTAGTTTATGTTGTTCATTATCATCCACAAATGAGTGAGATCATGTGATACTTATCCTTCTCTGACTGGCATATTTTGCTTAGCATAATGCTCTCAAGGCCCATCCATGCTGTTGTAAATGGTAAGAGTTCTTTCTTTTTTACAGCAGTGTAGTATTCCATTGTGTAGATGTGGCACTGTTTTTAATCCACTCATCAGCTGATGGGCACTTAGGCTGTTTCCAAATCTTAACTATTGTAAATTGCACTGCTATGAACATAGGGGTACATATATCCTTTCTGATTGGTGTTTCTGTTTTCTTGGGATATATTCCTAGAAGTGGAATTACTGGGTCAAATGGGAGTTCCATTTTTAATTTTTTGAGGAAACACCACACTGTTTTCCACAAAGGTTGCACCAGTCTGCATTCCCACCAACAGTGTATGAGAGTTCCCTTTTCTCCACTATTTGTTCATGGGTATTTTTAAAAATTTAGCATTTCTTGTTTGTTGATTTGTTGATGATAGCCATTCTGACAGGTGTGAGATGGTACCTCATAGTGGTTTTGATTTGCATCTCTTGGATAATTAGTGACTTTGAACATTTTTTCATATGCCTCTTGGACTTCTGTATGTCCACTTTTGAAAAGTGTCTATTTAGGTCCTTTGCCCATTTTTTTTATTGGATTGTTTATCCAGCCAACCCATGCAAAGCTTTTGTTGGCAATCTGCCAGTTATGTACTTCTTAATTATATTTGGTGCTAAAGTTAAGAGTTTAAGTGGGAAATATCTCTTTGTCCTACCTTGCAATCATAGGTATCAAACGAAGTCTTTTAAAATTTTTAATATTTTAAACTATAGTTTACATTCAATATTATTTTATCTTAGTTTCAGGTGTACAGCATAGTGGTTAGATAATCATTTACTTTACAAGGCATTCCGCAGATATTTCTAGTTCCCAACTTGCACCATACATAGTTATCACAATATTGTTCACTATATTTCCTATGCTCTACTTTACATTCCCATGACAATTTTTGTAACCATCAATCTGTAGTTCTCAATGCCTTCACTTTTTTTCACCCAATCCTCTAACCCTCTCTCCTTTTGGCAAACATCAGTCTGTTCTCTGTATTTACAAATCTGTTTCTGTTTTGCTTGTTCATTTATTTTGTTCTTTAGATTCCACAAATAGGTGAAATGTGGTATTTGTCTTTCTGTGACTGCCTTATTTCACTTGGCATACTACCCTCTAGGTCCATCCATGCTGTTGCAAAAGAAAGGTTTAACTAGAGCAAAAGAAGGGTAGAGAAAGTTGTTTCTATATGGGCCAGAAGAGAGTATTTTAGCCCAAGATGTGTTACCTCTAACCCAAAAGCTGTGAGCAGAAATATGGTTTATCAGAAAGAACATCAGACTCAGAATTGGAAGGCCCTCTTCAGGTCTCAGCTTAGTCACTGAGTAACATCAGGTGAATCTTCTCCCTCCTGGACCTTGTTCCCCAACTCTAAAATGAGGGTATTAGAAGAGTTGCTTTTTTAAGTGCTATCTGGATCTTACTTTCTCTGGTTCTGTGTGATCTAGATATGCTCCCACTAGAGAAAGCTCTGGAAGTGATCCAGGTTACTTCTGCATTTTTTTTTTTTTCAGTCCAGTGTTGTCTTGCTTTTATTTGGCCAGTTGTCCAATTTAGATGGAATCTCCAGCTGTTGTTTTTTTCCCCTCTTTATTAAATAAGATATTACAAATGTGTCCTTATCCCCCCAATGTCCCCTCATCCCCCAAATCCTGCCCTCACCCTCACCCCCTGTTGTGCACATCCATCACTTATGCTTGTATGCTTGCATACAAGTCCTTTGGTTGATCTTTCCCACTCATGCCCACCCTCCCCTGCTTTCTTTCTGAGTTTTGAGCATCTGATCTATGCTTCTCTGTCTCTACATCTGTTTTTGTTCATTGGTTTATGTTGTTCATTATAATCCACAAATGAGTGAGAGCATGTGATATTTATCTTCCTCTGACTGACTTATTTCACTTAGCATAAGTCTCTCCAGGTCTATCCATACTGTTGGAAATGGTAGAAGTTCCTTCCTTTTTACAGCAGATTAGTATTCCATTG